ATATATATATATATATATATTTGTGCCCTATCAACTCTAATTAAGTCGGACACCTGTTGTGGTTATTATCAGGGCATTAAGCCTATCCAATAGAGTAAAGCATTAAAAAAAAAATATCTGGCCCATGCCCGTTAAGACACCGCCTCTCAAGTCTCAACCCATGCCCAAAACATTCAAGTGCTTATGTTCCTATGCTTTTCAAACTAGGTCTCTGGATCAATGTTGATGTTTATTATAAGTTAAAGCTCTAAGAAATAAGAATATTATAAATATAAAAAGATTTTTAAAATATTTAATTTTTTTTGTTTCATTTCTTTTTCAAAAAATTATTATAAATCTTTATATAGAAAATAAACTAGAAAACCCTAATAATAATGAATAGAAAAAAATAAATTAGAAAAAAAATATTCCTTTCAAAAAGGAGAAAAACTATAAAAGCATCGTAATAATGAATAGAAAAATAAAATTAAAGTAAATTATTTATTTTCCTAAAAAAGTTTCTATATCAAATGTTTTTTTTTTTTTTTTGCAATCAGATTGTCAACTATATTTATTAAATCCACCTCTACCTCTACCCAATGGTTTGACTCTAAAAGTTAAAATCCATGACTGGAGCAAAGTTTTGATTTGATCTAATTTTGACATTATTCTTTAAACAAATCCAAATAACTTTCAAATTAATATGCAAAACTGAATGCATATACTTATATTCAAAATCCAAATTAATGGGTCTTATCCTGATCTATTTATTGTTCCGGAATAAATTATATTGATTTTATACCTGCTCCACATGTAATGTATATTTATTTTCAGTATACTACTCATCTATTATTTCTCATTTTGCAAAATCCTAGCCATTAACTTGAGATGTTAAGTCAAGATTTAACTAGTGTTATGTGTTGGGGTATGCTTGATACGTGGGTAAAGGAGTTTTTCACCTCTTTTACTTGTGTTTATAACAATTTCAAGTGTACGAAAAAATTAATCTAAAGAAGTTTAAGATTTAATCTCAAAAGCGGAGTTAAATGGTAACTTTATGGAGGGTGGAAGGGGTAAAAAAAATGATTTATCAATGGGAGAGATATGGAAGTAGCTAGGTTGGAAGGGTAAAAAAATGATAATGATAAGATTTCAGAAGTAGAAAATAATTATGTCAATTATAATACGACATTAATTGTAATGGGTTTCTTTCACAAGCAAAATTATGATTTTCGTGTTAGAAAAATAATATAAGAAAATAATTTTGGTAGAGGTAACTCTGTATCAAATTTTAGACCTAGAGTGGATTATAGTGATACAAAAATATTGTATTATCCTGAAGAAGACTATATTCAGTATCATTGTGAGAAGGAAAAAATCAATGTAGAAGAACTGAAGCTAAGGAGCAAGAAGTCTAGAGATGCTGCGATTGTACAAATCATAAAGATGTTCTCATGGTTTATAGAGGCAATGAGTTTTTTGAGAAATTCATGACTTTTAGATTCTGCACTCTCTTTTCATATTTGTTTAAAGAAATAATGGTTTAATATTTATTAAAAAAAATGATGGAAATTTTATCACGCAACAATCTTGCTCTATCTATACCTGCAACGTTCTAATTTGAAGCAGATTGAATGTTTGGATGTTTCTTACAACAACTTAAATGATGTCATCTGTCGGTAATTTACCGAAATTACCACAATGACAGTTTTTAGTGTGGCGCACAATAACTTGTCAGGTAAGACTCTCGAGAAAAAGTATCAGTTTGAGACCTTTTGATGAAACAGTTACGAAGGAAATCCTTTCTTGTGTGGATCTCCATTGCAAAACAATTGTAATATAGAAGAATCACCATGGCAGCCAAAGGATAATGATGAACAAGAAGATGATAATTTCATAGACATGGAGTTTTTCTACATCAATTTTGGTATATGGTACATAGTTGTGGTGATGATGATTGCAGCAATTCTTTACATCAATTCATATTGGCGACGCAGGTGGTTTTACTTCATTGAAAACTGCATGTATTCTTGCAATTATTTTGTGGTGGCTAGTTTTCAAAAGTTCTCCAAGTTCAGAAGGTGAATTTGTTACTGGAGAGATGGTTGTTCCTAGTTTGTGATGATTGTTTGTTCTGTATGTCTATCTACCGTCTCTAAGCCCAGCCTTTTCATTTAATTCGTTATTTGGGCTAAAAATATAAACTGGACTTCTCATTCCTGATCCATGGAAGGGAACTGATTTGCATGATTAATCTTTCAACTCTCAAGACTTGTCTAAAAATAAAATGAAAAGTGACCTGCGTCTGCATTCAACTTTCATTCTCGCAACTTTGTTAATTTGTAATTGATTTTTTTTTGTCGAGGAGAGAGGACTTGATTAAGTTGTATAAAGGGAATGATAATACTGTAAATTGCCAAAATCACTACTAAGTACAAACCAAATATTCTATGCGAGTGTGACAACACTCACCCGTATCTACCAGAGGCTGGGTAGATGGGTTTCTGAAACTCTTCTGTGATTAGAGGGGTAAACTACGGAGAGGACTCCAGTTTCAGGAAAATCATGATCTCTGCCAAGTTCCTCGGGTCTGGATAGACGTTTCCTCCGATGCATCTACCTGTTTTGTTTTTACATTTTTGTTTTAATTTTACAGCACCATTTGCTACGGAACATATATAGTGCTTGCATGATTTCTAATTAGACTGCCTCTTGCATGTTTTCATTGCAAGCCATTGATATTGTCTTTTGTTTTCATTTTATTGGCCCACACGGTGTTTATTATAACCCATGGTTGCCTGGGCATTTCTTCAATCATAGAACATATCCGAGTATAAAATAAACGGATCATGTTATCGGATTTCTTAATAATGTTTACCCTATCTCATTTCCTTATTATTTCTTAAGAATCCATTGTTATAGTAAATACGCAAATAACTGTTGGCACTGTCCATCGAAAGGTATCATGAGTAAATTGAAAACCAGGAACGGAATATTAATATTTATGGATCAATGAAGTGAAAGTGTTCGGTTGTTTATTTATCTAGTTTTTTATGTTTTTTTTTTGGAGGAACTGTTGCTGATATTGGAAAGTTTTTGAAAAAAAAAAAGTTTACTTTAGATTTATTTTTCATTACCAATTCTATCAATTTATTGCCTCTTAGACCACCAAGTGATAGTTTACAATTAGATCTATAAATAAATGACATAACCAGTCCAGGGAAAGTTATCAGCTCCATGCCCTCGTCTGTACAATTTTACAATTAAACAAGAAAAAAAGGGTCCAAACCTATGAAGTAGAAGATCATTGTTTACTGGATTAGTACTTTGAAATCCTAAACTCGTTTTGTTATTAGAACAAAAGGGTAAACCCACCCTTTGACTTTGCAACATAGAAGTAGAGTATCCAACTTTGAGCCATGAAGACAGTCTGAGGCGAATTAAGTGATATAATTCGCTACAAAAATCAAATTGGAATTTGCTGAAAGTTCTTATCAAGTTCAACAGTAATCTGACAGATGGAAGCGTAATACTAATTGAAAACAGAAACATTACAAGCATGAAATCTCAAATGACAAGGGTTTTTGTAACGAGTTGAAGGCAAAAGAAAAAAGAGGCTAAAATTGTCTCCTGAAGCTCAAAACTAATGATTTCATTTGTTATTGTTTTTTAAGCCATTGATAGTGTTCTGGCATACTCTGTCTATATACGTCATCTCTGCCCTAAATTTCTCCATTCTAACAAGTCCATGTTTTAATCAATGCATTTTCTTCCTTCTTCCTTCTTTTTTATATATATGGAAACTGTCTGACATGCATGTAGATATCTTATTGGTTGGGTTTTACAATTTACACTTTCTAATTAATTAATTTATAAAACCAGGCGTAAATCACACACACACACACATATATATATATAAGATATTTTTTTCTTGCACCAAATTCATTTTGGGATAGAGATTGATGCAGTGGAATCTTGACTTCACAGGTCTACGAAGAAGAAACACACAAGTGCAAGTGGATGATGAGATTTAAGAGACTTGTCAGAAAATCAATTGTTCGAACAAATGACTTCCCGAGTCTACGAAGAAAAAAAGCAACGTAGCTTACACTACAAGCTGGAGGAACACCCCGTTCCACAATCTTGAAGAAAAACATTAACACTAAACTTAATCATTGATATTGTCTTTTGTTTTCAATTTTGTTGGCCCACACGGTGTCTATGATGGTCATCTCTGCCCTAACTTTCTTCATTCAAACACATCAATAATATTTTAATCAGTGTATATTTTTCTTCTTTCGTAGTTATATAAATATATTTATAAAAAAGAAAATGAATTTGTTTTGAATGGACAAATATATATCATTCAGATTAAGAATATTCAAACAATAATTAATATGGAAGTAAATTAGCCTAACAGATATTTCTTTCTGAAATTGATGATGTTGATAATATATTGGGAATCTTGACCGACATCACAAGTCTACGGAGAAAAAGAAGTGCAAGTGGATGGTGAAGCTACCGGGAAATCACTTCATTCCATGAAAAACGTTGAGGAAGAAATTTTTGTATTCCATAAGATCAAATCAATTGTTCGGAACACATGACTTTCCATGTCTATATATGAAGAAAAACCAGAGTAGTGTACACAACAAGTTGGAGGAATTGACTAGTGGCAGACAGTGATTGTGGAGCCTTAGACTTGATGCATCTATTGGATCCTCATAAATAAGAAAAAAGACAACCACTCACATTGGAACCTAATATGTCAAAAAATAAAAATAATGGATTTTCTTAATCACAAATCCACAAATAATGAATTTTCCAAGTTTAATCACAAATCCACGGATCAGTGGGTATATTTAGTATTGTAGTATAAATAGGACCTCTATGGTTGCCCGAATGCACATATGACATAACAAACAACAATATTCTACGTAGTACTTCATAGAATTATCCAAGATGATGATGAAAAAAATGGGGGCTTGGATGTTGCTAGCATTATTGACTTTGGTTGGCGACTGGTGTGGTTGTTGTTATGGGTGTTTGGAGGATGAAAGAATTGGTCTCTTAGAGATCAAAGCTTTGATCCACCCAAACAGCATTTACATGGGAGATTGGGTGGAGTACAGTAGTAATTGTTGTGAGTGGTCTGGGATCGAGTGTGATAACACTACAAGGCGAGTGGTCTGGCTCTCTCTTAGGCGTGCAAGGGATCTGAGTTTGGGGGATTGGGTTCTCAACGCATCTTTGTTTCTGCCTTTTAAAGAACTGCAAAGTCTTGATTTGAGTTATAATGGACTGGTTGGTTGCTCTGAGAATCAAGGTCGGTTCAATGCTTCTGTTCTTGTAATCGTAAAGTAAATTCATATCATTGTGTGAATCTTATACTGAGATTACGCTGATGAAGTGGCTAGCTGGTGTTTAATGTCAATTATCTTGCTTTGATGTGTTTCTCTTCCAGGCTTCGAAGTCCTATCATCAAAACTGAGGAAACTGGAGGTACTTCACCTAAGTGAGAACCGATTTAATGATGATAAAAACATTTTATCATGCTTCAATGGGCTTTCATCTCTCAAGTCTTTGGATCTGTCAATCAATGAGGTGATCACAGGATCAGGTAGCTTCGATGGTGACCGTTTAATTATTTAGCTTTGAAACATTTTCTTTTCTCCTTGTCATATGATTTAGCTTCTATGCGTTTATTTCCTTCCAGTATGCTTAATTTTGAGAGACACCATGCAGGTCTCAAAGTCCTGTCATCAAGGTTGAAAAAGCTGGAGACCCTTGACCTGAGTGAAAATCATTGCAACGATAGCATTTTTTCATCTCTAAGTTGGTTTTCATCTCTCAAGTCTTTGGATCTGTCATACAATGAGGTGATCACAGGATCAGGTAGCCTCGATGGTAACCGTTTAATTATTTAGCTTTGAAACATTCTCTTTTCTCCTCCTCGTATGATTTAGCTTCTATGCGTTTATTTCCTTCCAGTATGCTTAATTTTGAGAAACATCATGCAGGTCTCAAAGTCCTGTCATCAAGGTTGAAAAAGCTGGAGAACCTTCACCTATATGGGAATCACTGCAACGATAGTATCTTTTCATATCTAAGTGGGTTTTCATCTCTCAAGTCTTTGGGTCTGTCAGGCAATCAGCTGACAGGATCAGGTAGCTTCGATGGTGACCGTTTAATTATTTAGCTTTGAAACATCTTCTTTTCTCCTTGTCATATGATTTAGCTTCGATGCGTTTATTTCCTTCCAGTATGCTTAATTTTGAGAAACATCATGCAGGTCTCAAAGTCCTGTCATCAAGGTTGAAAAAGCTGGAGAACCTTGACCTGAGTTGGAATCAATGCAACGATAGCATCTTTTCATCTATAACTGGGTTTTCATCTCTCAAGTCTTTGGATCTGTCAGACAATCTGCTGACAGGATCATCTACTGGTATCAATAGTAAGTTGCATTCTCTTAAGAAAATTGAGGACTTTATATCTACATAGTAATTAATGATAGCATTAATTTCATCATGTTTGACTGAGCTTTCATCTCTAAAGATTTATATATAAATTGTTTTTCTAATAAGACCGGAAGAGATCAAAATTACGATGATTAAAGGTATATATTGTTACAGCTGTTATTATGGTCACTGTTAGTGCAGATTAATTAGGGTAGCTGGCAGATGCATGGACACGTGTTAGAAGTTGTTAAGAGACGGTTAGAGTTAGTTAACAATATAATAAATCGTGTAATGCATGTGGGGAAGCATATATGCACGTGTTGGATTACGCACGCAAGAAATAACAGAATCATCCTCCTCTTAACAACTTAATTAAGGCATACAACCAACTATCTAGGTGGTGGCCAAGTGGTAAAGACTTGGGATTAAGGGGTTTACCCCCTCTGTGGTCTCAGGTTCGAGTCCTTGGTTGCTCATATGATGGCCACTGGAGGCTTATATGGTCGTTAACTTCAGGGCCCGTGGGATTAGTCGTGGTGCGCGCAAGCTGGTCCGGACACCCACGTTAATCTAAAAAAAAAAAAAATTAAGGCATACAACCATCCCTCAAGACCCTTTCTCTCAAGGATACTGCTTAATCAGTGTTTAGTTTCTTAAAATCTTAATTAATAATATTGAATGGAATGGTTACTATTTTCATCAATTCGAGCACCCTTGAAGAATAGTATCTAGGTGGTACTTCTCTCCCATTAAACTTTCTCCAGAACATCGGAGCATTGCCTGCTCTTAAAGAATTGTATGCTGGTTACTGTGACCTCAATGGCACCCTGCCCGCTCAAGGTAAACTAACAACTCTCCATCCGCTCAAGATTCTTTCAACACTATATATTTTGACTATTTCCTGATAAATTGTATAGGTTGGTGTCAATTGAAAGGCTTACTCCTAACTTTACGCTACATTTAGCAAAGGATAAAATCTAGGGTTTCTCAATCTCTAAAATTTCTCCTTCCTAGAAAACTTTCAATTAAAAAAATTATGGATATTAATAATCTAAATGACCAATCTCATATATATATATATATCTAAAGCTGTTTAAATATAATCTAAAACCGACCTAGCTAATGAAACAAAAATCAACTAAAACTTTAAAACCGTACATAGCAATTACATAATTGATATATTCCTTTTCCCTTAACAATGAACACATGGATATATTCTACAGGCTGGTGTGAACTGAAGAATCTTGAACAGCTACTTCTATCCGGAAACAATCTAAAGGGCGTACTCCCTCCTTGTTTGGGAAATCTATCATCTCTACGATCCTTGGATTTATCTTACAACCAATTGGAGGGAAATATTGCCTCTAGTCACCTTTCCCATCTTACGCAGCTTGAACAACTCTCAGTTTCAAATAACTACTTTCAAGTTCCAATATCATTTGGTTCATTTATGAACCTCTCCAACATCAAGTTCATTGTATGCGATAACAATGAGCTAATAGCTGCACCCAGTTCTCAGCCTTTAGTTCCAAAGTTCCAGCTTCGTTTCTTTAGTTCTTCAAACTGTACTCCAAAACCACTCGAGGCTGGATTTCCAAACTTCCTGCGTAGCCAACATGATTTGGTGTTTGTTGATCTATCCCACAACAAATTCGTTGGACAACCTTTCCCATCTTGGCTGTTTAAGAATAATACAAAGTTAGATCGACTATATTTGAGAGACACCTCATTTATAGGCGGTCCTTTGCAGCTGCCACAACATCCAACACCCAACCTTCAGACAGTAGATATGTCTGGCAACAACATACATGGTCAAGTTGCAAGAAACATATGTTCGATTTTTCCACGTTTGAAGAACTTCATGATGGCTAACAACAACCTTACAGGTTGTATTCCTCCTTGTTTTGGGAATATGAGCTCTCTCAAATACTTGGATCTTTCCAACAATCACATGTCTTGTGAACTGCTTGAGCATCATTTGCCAACAGTAGGCTCCACGTTGTGGTTTTTGAAGCTGTCCAATAACAATTTCACAGGGCGATTACCACTCTCTGTGTTCAACATGACTGGCCTAGAGTACCTCTTTCTCGATGGAAACAAATTTGCAGGACAAGTATCGGGTACCTTTTCTCTTGCACCATCATTTTCGTGGTTTGATATCAGTAACAATCTTTTGTCGGGCATGCTTCCAAGGGGAATTGGGAACTCGTCACTAAACGGCTTTGCTCAGGCAATTGATATGTCCAGAAATCAGTTTGAAGGTACCATTCCAATAGAATATTTCAATTCTTATGGGCTTCAATTTTTAGATCTTTCTGAAAACAATCTGTCTGGGTCTTTGCCGTTGGGCTTCCATGCATCAGATTTAGGCTATCTCCACCTTTACAGAAATCAATTGAGCGGTCCACTGCCACATGCTTTTTGTAATCTCTCTTCGTTGGTTATATTTGATCTCGGCGATAACAACTTAACTGGGCCCATTCCAAATTGGATTGATAGCCTTTCGGAATTGAGCATTTTCGTTCTCAAATCTAATCAATTCAATGGGAAACTTCCTCCTCAGTTATGCTTGTTAAGGAAATTAAGCATATTGGATCTTTCAGAAAATAATTTTTCTGGTCTGTTACCCTCATGTTTGAGCAGTTTAAATTTTACGGCATCAGATGAAAAAACTTCGGTTGAACCTGGTGGCACGTCACAAGATCTTGAAAGCCAGGATGAAAAATTTCCATCCATAGGTTCTAAGTATCTTGCTGACAAAATTTTGTGGGCAAAGATTGATGTAAAAATAGCTGTGGAGCTTAGAGCAAAGAAAAATTTCTACACTTACGAAGGCGGTATCCTTCGATACATGTCTGCTATGGATCTCTCTTGTAACAGATTCACTGGAGAAATCCCGACAGAATGGGGAAACTTAAGTGGGATATTTGCTCTAAATCTGTCACAAAATAATCTCAATGGATTGATCCCTTCATCCTTCTCCAATCTGAAGCAAATAGAGAGCTTGGATCTTTCTCACAACAACTTGAATGGGAGAATTCCTGCACAACTCGTTGAACTGATGTTTCTAGCAGTTTTCAACGTGTCGTACAATAATTTGTCAGGAAGAACACCGGAGATGAAATATCAATTTGGTACCTTTGATGAGAGCAGTTATAAAGGGAATCCTCTTCTTTGTGGACCTCCATTGCAAAACAGTTGCGACAAAACAGAATCACCATCAGCGAGAGTGCCTAACGATTTCAATGGAGATGGTGGCTTCATAGACATGTACAGTTTCTATGCCAGCTTTGGTGTGTGTTACATAATTGCGGTGTTGACAATTGCAGCAGTACTGTGCATAAATCCGCATTGGCGACGCAGGTGGTTTTACTTCATTGAAGAATGCATCGACACTTGCTACTGCTTTTTGGCTATAAACTTTCGCAAGTTGTCCAGATTCAGAGGGTGATTGGGTCTTATCATGATCGAGTGGGCTGCTTTCTGAATTTGTTGCAATCCTCTGTGGGGAAGCAGTCGCATTCCAAATCAATGGTTGCTCACAACATGTTTAGCAATTTGCCTGTGAGAAGTGCTCTGTCGAAGTGTCTGGTTCTTGTTGCTTAGCCTTTCTGTTGTGACATGACTTGTGTTTGTCATTGTGCTTGTATCCATATTTGTTTGTTTCGTTGTTATGTCTTAATTATGTTGCGTTTTGGTCTTAGATTTGGAGAATGAGCAACTAACCAATATTTCTTGGATTCTTGTGATTACTATATCCCTAATAATATGGAATTTATTCACAAGAAATAGTTTACAGTATCGTATTTTCTCAATTAAAAAAATAATTAATAGAACCAAAAGATCATACCAGCAAGGTGAAGTGTGGTTCTACAATAATTTTGTTTGCTTAAAGAACACAAGTCTAAACTTAAAACAGGGCAACGGCATAATCTGTCTTCCTTGCAATAATGTGCTTGATTGCTCGTATTTAGACCTCCTCTCCTGTCCTGTTTGCCTCATCCATGTAAAAAGCAAATAAACAAACATAAAGTTCCATACTTTTAATTGAATTGAATTGCCAGTAAGTTCTTTGTCCATTTGAACAGAGGATTTAGCTTAATTTGTCATATCCCATCATTATTTCAACATCCTAATGAAAATGATCTTAACTTGAAGCTTCGGTAACTAAACTCTAAGCAGTTCCGGCTTGCTTAATTACTCTCTCCAGAGGTATCTTCTTCTAGCAGAACTCCAGCCTTCTGACCTCCAAGATGGACTCAATTAGGAAGAATTTGTGTTAGCCCTGCACATATTTTGTATGTTAGCTATCTTACAGTATGTTAGCTTTGTATAGTTGCAGTGGATATTATAGTATCTTACAGTATGTTAGCTTTGATGAGTTGCAGTTGACAGGATTTACTGGTATCAATAGTAAGTTGCATTCTCTTTATCAAGAAAATTGAGAACTTTATATCTATTTCACAATCAATATAATGATAGCACTTCATCATGTTTGACTGAGCTTTCATCCCTGAAGATTTATATCTATGGAGCTTTCAACTTATCCATAAATTGTTTTTTTAATAAGACAGGAAGAGATTAAAGTGAGCTGGACCAAAATTAGGATGATTAAAAATTACGAGTGACGATGTATAGAACGGATACTTGCAATCTATCTTCTTCCTTAATCTATGCACTGTATATTTTTTTGATGTAAAATTTGAGAATTATATATACATGTTGTAGGTTTTCAACTCCAACCGATGAGGCTGGGAAAGTCAGAGAACCTTAACCCGAGTGCCAATCAATTGAACAGTAGCATCTTATCAATTCTGAGTGGGCTTTCATCCCTCAAGTCTTTGGATCTATCATTAAATAAGTTGACAGGATCAGGTAATGATACACAGTTTCTACCTAGAAACCGTGTAAGAATATAATGGTAGGAGGATTACGTAAGAGTCTCTCAATTCTCTGTTTTCCTTCTTCTCCTCCCTTGCTTCTCACCCTTCAGCTTCATTTTGTTAAGCCAAGCTTAACAGATGATTATATTACAATACACAAAATGGATACTTCCAATCTATCCTTCTTGACAAAAACGCAATCTTAAGGAATAAAAACCATCCCTCAAGACCCTTTCTCTCAAGGATACTACTTTAAGTCAACGTAAATTAGTGTTTAGTTTCTTAAAATCTTAATTAATAATATTGAAAGGAATGGCTACTCTCTACCACCACTATTTTCATCGTACCTTTTCTTCCTTCTCTTTCACAGGGACTTTCTTCAATTCGAGCACCCTTGAAGAATTGCATCTAGATCATACTTCTCTCCCATTAAACTTTCTCCAGAACATCTTAACATTGCCTACTCTTAATGCATTGTCTGTTGGCCAATGCGACCTCAGTGGCACCCTGCCCGCTCAAGGTAAATTAACAACTCTCCATCCACTCAAGATTCTTTCAACACTACATATTTTGACTATTTTGAGATAAATTGTACAGGTTGGTGTGAATGGAAGAATTTGGAGTAGTTAGATCTCTCCGGAAATAATTTTGGTGGTTCACTTCCAGATTATTTAGGAAACTTGTCATTTCTACAACTACTAGATGTTTCTAGTAACCAATTTACTGGAAATATTGCCTCCGGTCTGTTGTGTGTGGACACAATGTGGTTGATGGCAACCATGGCAAGAGTCAAATGGTGGGTGCCTAACAAAAAACAATGTTGCCCACCATTGTTGAACAAAAGGAGATGATTGTCTCCCATATCAGCTATAAATAGAGGGTGCAATTGATAGTTGAGACAACACACGAAATAGAGAGAAACACAAAGAGAGCTTAAAGTGAGAGTTGAGTTGAGAAGTTTTTCTCCTCCTCCTTATTTTGTTGTTTGTATTGCTTTTGAACTTGATTAATATAAACCAGAACTCTGTGGAGTAGGCAAGTTGCCGAACCACGTAAATTGATGTGTGTTTGAATGCTTGAATGGCTTAAGAACTGGTATCAGAGCTTGTTCTTGAAAAAGAGGGTGTTTGATCCAAACTTAAAAATCAAAGTTCTCAAAACGTGTTGTTGAGCATACCATCGTGAAGAGGACGACGAGAGGAATCCATTAGTGAAAACTCGGTGAAAAACCGACGTCCTGCATGCCTGCACGCCCTTCACGCGCTGCCACCACCACTGTCCACGACCCTTCACGCGCCGTACACGCGTCACGCGTCTTCCTCACCCGTTTTCTGCAAATTGACCTGCCACGTCATCCGCCACATCAGCAGTTCAGCATAGTCATCAGCCACGTCAGCCGCCACATCAGCAGTCTGACCAGTCAAACTGCCACGCCACCTAACACAGTGTCCGACACGTCATCAGCCACGCCAGCCGAAAATTCACGTGGATCTGACACGTCAGATTTGTGGACCCCACAGTACCTACATGGCTAACACGTCATCACAGCCACTTCAGCATCCTGGGTTTTGTTCTGGTGTGGCACCGAGACTTCCTCCTGCCACATGGCTTCATTTGCAGCGTCCAGTAATCCCAAAGTTTGATTGTTTAAATCTGAGCCATTCGAAGTCCAATTTGGGTGATCTCAGTGTTGTTTCCAACATTTTTTACCATTCCGAACACATCTGTAAGGTCAGATTTTGTAGATTTGAATAGGAGAAAGATTAAAAATGGCTGATGAAATAAAGGCTACGGGAATTGAAAAATTTGATAGAACTGATTTTGGATATTGGAAAATGCAAATTGAAGATTATCTATATGGGAAGAAACCTCATCCTCCTCTGTTGGGAAGCAAACCAGAAAACATGTCAGAAGAAGATTGGCAAATTCTTGATAGACAAGTCTTGGGCATTATCTGGCTATCATTGTCAAGAAGAGTTGCTCATAATGTTACAAAAGAGAAATCCACAGCAAGATTGATGGAAGCCTTGTCTGGGATGTATGAGAAGCTATCAATAAATGACAAAGTGCACTTGATGAAGAAGCTGTTTAACATGAAGATGACAGAAAGCAGCTGTGTTACACAACATCTTAATAACTTCAACACCATCACAAATCAATTGTCATATGTTGAGATTGAGTTTGATGATGAGATTCGAGCACTTATTTTGCTAGCTTCACTTCTAAGCAGTTGTGAAGGTATGAGAACAGCCGTAAGCAACTCAGCCGGAAAATCCAAATTAAAATATAATGACATCCGAGACCTGATTTTAGCTGAAGAAGTACGAAGGAAAGACTCAGGTGAAAGCTCAAGTTCAGGTTTAGCTCTCAACATCAACACTCAAGGAAGAAGACACGAGAGAGGCTTATCCAGAGGCAGATCAAAATCCAGGTACAGAAGTAAAAGCAAGTTTGGACCCAGGAAGCAGGTTGAATGTTGGAATTGTGGCAAACCTGGTCATTTCATGAGGAGTTGCACGAAACCAAAGAAACCTGAAGCTGATTCTGCAAATGCCACTACAAACGAGGTACAAGATGCTTTGATTCTTGCTGTACATAGTTCTATTGATGATTGGGTTCTTGATTCTGGAGCTTCATTTCACTATACTTCACACCATAAAATGATGCAAAACTATACTGTTGGAAATTACGGGGTAGTCTATCTGGCTGATGGACAACCATTGGATATTGTGGGTATAGGAGATGTGCAAATCAAGACAATGAATGGATTTATATGGAACTTGCAAAATGTAAGGCATGTTCCCGAACTAAAGAAGAAGCTGATCTCGGTCGGACAACTTGATGATAGTAGCCATTCAATCCTTTTTTTTTTAGGAATGTGGAAGGTATCAAAGGGAGCAATGGTTTTGGCTTGTGGAAAGAAAACCGACACCCTGTATATGACCATAAGATCAGCAGATATAATTGCCTCTACTGAAGCAAAAAATCAGGCACAACTATGGCATTGTAGACTCGACCATATGAGTCAAAAGGGGATGAAGATACTTCAGTCAAAGGGAAAGCTGCCAGAGTTAAAAAATGTTGATCTAGACATTTATGAAAGCTGTGTTCTCGAAAAACAGAAGAAACTCAGTTTCTTAAAGGTTGACAGGACCTTAAGACCAAGAAAACTAGAACTGGTGCACACAGATTTATAGGGACCAGCTCCAGTAGCATCTCTTGGAGGTTCTCGGTACTATGTGACTTTTATTGATGATTTCAGTAGGAAGGTATGGGTCTACTTTTTGAAAAATAAATCTGATGTGTTTGACACATTCAAGAAATGAAAGGCTATGGTTGAGACTGAATCAGGTTTGAAGTTGAAATGCTTACGATCTGATAATGGAGGAGAATACATTGATGAAGGTTTCAAGGAGTATTGTGCTGTCAACGGTATCAGAATGGAAAAGACAGTTCCAGGCACACCACAACAGAATGGTATTGCTGAACGGATGAATAGGACCATCAATGAATGAGCTAGAAGCATAAGGTTGTATTCTGGGTTACCTCAAACATTCTGGGCTGATGCAGTTCATACTGTAGTTTACTGATCAACCGTGGACCATCAGTTCCTTTGGAGTTCAGACTACCCGAGGAAGTCTGGAGAGGAAAAGAAGTACAGCTTTCTCATTTAAAGGTTTTTGGGTGTGTTTCCTATGTTCATGTAGATTCTGATGCTCGCAACAAGCTGGATGCCAAATCAAAGAAATGTTTCTTTATTGGCTATGGAGATGAAGAATTTGGATTTCGGTTTTGGGATGATCAGAACAGGAAGATTATCAGAAGCAGGAACGTGATCTTCAACGAGAAAGTTTTGTATAAAGACAGATCAAGTACAGAACCAGAGATAACTGATTCAGATA